GCAGCCCCGCTGTGTAACCTTTACACCTCTGGGGGCGCCCTGGGCGGGAAGCGGTCAGGAAAAGGGCGGGCAGCTGCCCACGGGCGCCGCCTCGGCTCCGGCCAGCACCCTGCCCCCGGTGCCCACCACAGGCCCCAGCCTGAGCAGCCCAGCGGCATCTCCAGGCAGACTCCCCAATGTTATCCAGCCGGGTGGGGGCACCGATGACCCTCTGTGCCGCAGTGCACCCCCAGAAAAGTTACTCGAGGAAAGGTTCACTAGAGGAAAGCGCCGGCGACTCTGACATCGCAGTCTGCGAACATCCGGGCTCCAGAGTCAACTGGCCTGAAGAATCACCCCAATAAGTTCATCGAGAAACGGCAGAAACGCCGGAAATGGGCGGCTCCGAGGACGTGACCGGCAGCCGGCCTGCCCCGGGCTCTGACAAGCCGGCGGCCTCCAGCCCAGCAGTCAGGCTGCAGCCAGGGCCAGACAGGGCGGAGCCTCAGCCCGTCAGAACGAGGCGGGGCCGAGCCCCAGGCGGCGGACCCGGGGCGCCCTCGCCCCTGCCCACCCGCGGCAGCTGCAGTTTCGTTCTCACCACCCAGTGCCCCAACGCCTGGAGGAAGGAGCAGCCTGAGATGCGGCGCACACGCTACCCGGGCCCAGCAGGGGGCGGCGCAGTTCCCAGGAGGCGACCCCCTAGGGGCTGGGGCAGGGGCGGGCACCCCAGGAGCCCGCACAGGCCGCTGGGCCCCCAGGAGTCCCGGTGCCGTCGCCCACCACCGGCTTCTCCGGGCTCCCGCGGACACGCAGACAGGGCCGGCGTTGACTGTGTGCACTGAAATGACACTGATGAGAGTTTTTACAGATTCCCAGTGGATCTGTGTAAAAAGGGGGTGCAGGCATGGTGCGGGGGGCTGCACGGGGGTGCGTGCGAGCGGGGTTTTGCAAGTGTGTGGGTGTGCAAGCGTGTGGGTGTGCACGTGAGTGGCTATGTTTCTCTAGAGCTGTCAGGAACAACGAAACTACTTGTTAAAAAAATACATGCTTCTCATCTTCAGAGAAAAAACATTTCAATTTGAAAAAAGCTAGGTAATTCAATCCCATTTATTAAAAACAAGAAAATTATTCAAGGAAACAGAAGTGGTCGTTCACCCGTTAAAATGACCGTGACAGAGATGGGGGTGGGAGCGCTGAAAAGAACACGCAGAAGTCTTGCAAGAAAAGTATGTGGCTGAACTTTAGAAAAAGTACCGTGAACACCTACACAGTGCGTTCTCTGCACACAGGCCCCGCCCCGCGGGGCTCCCAGCAGGCTGCAGGTGGCGCGCCGCGGGTCCGGGGCAGCGCGTCCGCTTTGGCACACAGGCCTGGCCACAGGCATGTCCAGTGCTCAGGTCTGTCTGGCACCACGTCCGGCCGGCAGGCCGGCTGGCTGGCACACAGTCTGTCCCCGCCAAGGGCGGGTCTGTCCCCGCAGACAATGCCCGGCTCAGCGTCACACAGCAGCTTTATGCGGAGAATGAAATACATCATTAACATCCTGGCTTATCTGCTGCCCAGACAAAGGGCCAGTTCTCCCGCCTCAGCGCAGTTCCTCTCCCCGCTGCCCACCGCGGCCAACAATCCTGGGCTCACAGTCCCAGGCCGGCGGGCTGCCCCATGAACGGGCACATTCACGGCCGGCTGAGGCCCGACGGCCAGGCCGCAGGCTGCGGGCGCAGGCCCATCAGTGGCCCATTATGAGCACACTGCATGTCCACTCTGAGACGGGAAGAAGGACCCAGCCCAGGCACTCACAGAACCCGGCAGAGGCGCCCCCACGCCGCCGGGGGCACCCCACCCGGCACCCGCCCTCAAGGCAGTCCCCGCTGGGGCAAGGGCGCTTTCCCACACAGGGCACCTCACGTTCCTGATGCACCATGAGTCAGGGCCCGCAGGTCTGCTGGGCAGCCTGGGTGAGCTCACCCCACGGAGGCCTCCGCCCCAGGCCGGCTGGGGACCACAGCCGCAGCCGAGGGCCGAGACCTACACCCCGGGTGTTGAGCAAGCCGCTCCCTGCCCCCAAGCTCCCTGTCACCAAATACGTGCCCAGCTGGCGAGGAGAGAGCCCTCGTCTCCCGCAGAAGCCACAGGGAACAGGACCGGCGCTGAAGCTCGCCGGCCGACACTCCCCCAGACGGGAAGGCAGGTGCGTGTAGGGGCGGCCCTCTGGGCCCCGGCCACGTGGACAGCGGCCGGCCTGACGCGGGCAAGGGAGACACGCCAAAGGTCGATGGCATTCGGGAAGTCCCGAGACCTCAAGGATGGGGGCGTCCTTCCCCGCCCCCCAGTAATCAACCGCATATCGGGGAAGCGCCACGCAGCGTGGGCCCCCCGACGGCCACTGCCCTCTGAGCCGCTCAAGCCGGGTGTCGAGGGGGGCTCCGTCAGTGACGCGGTCCCTGAAAAGTAAACTCACGGCAGAACCGCCAGCGCAAGTGGACGCAGAGGCCCAGCCTCGCCCGGGGCTGCGCCCCTGCCGGCACCAGGCCTCTGGCCCACGGGCCCGCCTCCCGCGGTC